TACTATAAAGTAGTAGAGTAAATAAAGTCTAAGGAAACTTATTGTATTTTATCGCACCACACCACTTAGGAACGATGTCATGAACGGTGTCGATTAGTCTTTTTATTAAACAACCAACAAGATTGTACCAACGGTCAGTACAACAAAACGCCTTTCTCTAACGATTGCGACACTCGCGTTATTAGATGTGTATGTTAAAGTGCCCAGTTTACTGGACGCTTTACAACTCAGACGCCTGTTAGCTATATATAAATACGCGTATTCGACAGACTGCCATAGTTAATATTATTATGTGGTATATGTATACGTAATTGTAAGTATATAACCTGCCAATCTTGGCCACGTTGTAGCATAATATAAGATTTGACAGAGATAGCGCGATCTATCTCATATGTAAGCGCGAGGATGCACGCATTTTTTTTTTAAGATAAGCATTTCCGAAGTGCCGAATTAACGATTAGTCGCGACAGTCTCGATAATGTAAAAATTCGATGTGTAAACGAACGCGATATTTATTTAATTGTTGTCTTAACTTTAGCAAAGCTAGTAGCGAGTGGTGTTACCACCGATTAGCAGATCGACTGCGACATGTTCTACAGATTGCACTGTATGTTGTCAAGGCGGAGGCATTATTATAGCGACGTTATCTCGCTTGTGCCCTAAATACGTTTCGAATGTGCCAAATTTTATACGAGGCACGTACTGAGTATATTGACGCCTACTGTAAAACAGTACACAACTCACGGCACCCACAACTTTGCAAACAATATAACTGCTGCAGGGCCAATTTATCAGCGTGAAAGGCACGCTGTGCCGCAAACTTACATATCTAATATCGTATAAGGCAGCTAATTGGTCGGTTGTTGATCGATAATTAAACTCACATGTGAGAATTCGTTGTTTTACATTTCCATCGCCGACAACGTATCACGTATATAATGTACATTAAATGTCATAAGTGTTCTGATTGACGTTAATTAAATTTCGGACGTCTTCGCGAACGCAATTCATCTTCACTATTATGATATACAGAGAACCATATCATTTTTATTACAGATTTTATGATTAATTTGCTGTTACTTTATCTTTTCAACTTCAAAACACGTACAATTTTTGAATAATTAATGACTAAAGATAAAAGATTTATAGCAAAATAAACTTCACATTCGAGAGAAAATAGATGATAAAGTCATAATATTTTAGTTGTTTTAATGTGTTTTATCTTAATCGATATTTTTTTTTTATTTAATCGTATACAAATATATACGATTAAAAATTGAAAGAGATAATCGACAATATTTGATATATATTATTAGATACTACATATTATTAGATATTTAATATTTTTGATATCTCAACAATTTCCTTGAATTAGCTTGAAGAATTATTGGAAAAACATGTGACGCTTCTGTATATCATGATAGTTTGTATTAAAGCAATAAAAATATCAGATATAATAAGAATATAATTATTGACATCCGTCTTTTATATGTTTTTTATTATAACCTATAGATGTAGATCGATATATAATAGAATCGTTTTATAAGGCATAATTTCAAAGACTCCCTTCAATGTAAAAGTTATTTTAATTGTCAGTTGGGACAAAACCTGGTACAATGAAAATTCATCCACACATAAATATCTGGAAATGACTCATTATATTTAAATGATTTCTGATGTATAATGCCAAGAAACAATCCAGAAAGTACTCGCTTAGTGAATTATATAGATATTCGTATGACACATAACGTCTATGGTGTAAGTATGCATACGACTTTGCTAGCCTTTCAGTAATTATAATTCTTTACTGCCAACTCTCCCCCTCCCCAAGTATTTCTTTACATACATGGCAATTGTATATACATTTTATATAAATTTTAAATAAACCACGAAATATATTTTTGTTTATTTTATAACGCAAAAGTAGTTCCAGCAAAGTTAATTTTTAAGAAAGCCAATATAATACCGGCTTTTTGCAATATGTGACGTGTGATCGTAAAGATTTTATGTGAACCAGTGTATATGTCCGAATAAAATAAGAAATATCTCGCAAACTATTGATTTTTAAAATTTCTTTATCCTACTTTTATATGCGGAATAATACAAGAACAATTCATTTATGAAAACAAGAATATTTTATTTAAAAACTAAGAGTGATTTTTAAAACTTCAGAACTCTCCTGTTTATTTAGAATAAAATCATGTATATCTCTATTGACATCTTTTTTTGGAAATAAATAACTTTTATCTAACAATAAAACATTTTTTGGAAATAAAGAGTTTCTTTTTCCAAAACAAATTATCTTCCCTCTCCCCTTCACTCTCTCTCATTTCCTTAAATAATATAAAGGAATAATTTTAAAAATATATCTACATTTTATATATATATAACATGCACATACATTCATATCTCGAATATCACATATACAAATCCAAATGAAAATAATAATTTTGTGTTTTTCTAACACATGTACTTTTTGATGTTATATAAATAATCTACAAATGACCAAATCTGAAATTATATATACAATATAACTCAAACAATTACTATTAACATTTGTTGTTCTACTTATTCTTCAAATATATGTATACTCTTCAAGTTAAAAAAAAATAACGGAAATCTTATAATTTCCCTATGACTCTCCAAATCATAAAAAATCCTAAGAAATCGAATAATAATGTTAAGACGTCTTTATGGAAATAGACGCTATCAAGATCCGCACTGATTAACATTATAATTTGATCACGCCCCAACAACTGCGTTACATTCCCATCTCCCCGATTCTAAGAATCTTCAAGTTAAATTGCATCAATAATGCGTTCCCGCATGTTCCCATACGTGATAACGACCTTAAACGAGAGTAATGCGACGATACCATGTGCAGGGCCGACACGAGTAAGCAGTTGAACCTTCAAGCTCAATTTTCTATCTGTCACATTCGAATAATCACGTTTTTAACTTTGGTTGCATTATTTCCGACACGTACTGATGGAACCCGTATGAGTTTTGAACAACCACGATTTGCCATATGTGCCGCAATGAATCCAAAGGTAATCACCCTGAAAAACTCGATTTTCCTCGAAGTGCGGATGCGCTTCAATTGGCATAATTTAAGCACTGTTAGATTTAAAAATAACGAATAAAATCAAAGTTTAAATTCGAGTTTCATATTTTTCAAAAAAATTTTTTTTATGAAAGTTAAAATCGCCATTGTTGACTCAATCTAAAGTTCTATTTCACGCATAATGTGCATAATGCATCATTTATCCTTGTTTACATTTGGTAAACGATTTCTAGCGTCGTATCTCTGCCAGAAGTGGGCGTATTTGAAATGCAATATGTATTTAGATACAATATGTATTTTAAATACATTTTTATTTTATTAAGAGTATTTTGTATTTCAAATTTGAATATTTTTTTTAGAGTATTTTGTATTTTGTATTTAAATGCAATTGTTTGAGTATTTTGCCCACCCCTGCTCGTAGATGTGAAAAATGATGCTTGTGTCACTAATTGAAAAGCATCCATATTGTTTGGGCCGAATGTTATCATGTTTAGTCCCCTTTTTGAATGTACGAAACGTAGTTACGGACCGTGTGTTCACAAGACGATGCCGCCTACTTTCGATATCGATCGGTTCAAGGAAGCGTTAATCCGTCTTACATCTATGTTCTAAGAGAATTCCCTACGATTCGGCAAGTAGACACGGGAAGGTAATTTGATTATCGCGATATTAAAGTTTAATTTTGATTGAGACCGTGTCAATTTTTAATTGATGCCATCTTGCCGATGATGGTTAATTCAACGAGGTAAAATGCTGCGGATGAAACTTTCATGTAATTGCTATATAAAGTAATAGGAGTATAAATAGTACAAAAAACAGATACAAAAGAATTAATTAAAGTGTCTTTTGCAGAAATAATAATAAATAAATTTATATGTTCTATTAAATTTATATAATACGTTAATATTATATATAAAAAAAGTGTAATATAAATTAAAAATACGTATTATTTTATACAAACGTTAATATTAATATTTTAGATTATATGTGTATATTGTGTATTTTTTATTGGAGATATTTCAAATAAAATCATTATTTCACTTGTATTTCAATTAACTCTCTCAAGTTCCACTTCTGAACAATTATATTTCACGTGTGTTATCATGGATGATTCGTAATTCTAATCGGCGTTGCAACAACATTATCCAAGCAACTCTTTTCTCAAGTGTATTAATTGACTGATATCGACGTAATCCAGAGGTTTCATTCAAGGAACGCGTTCCGGAAAAGCAATCGCCATCGCGTTGCATTTACATCAAAATATTGTTTTAATACATTTTACGCACACGTCAAACTGCACGTTCAAAATTCAGTCGTCAACTATCAAGAAAGAATTAATTTGACACATTAAATTTAAATTTGGAAATTTCTGTCACTTTCAATATTCTCGGCTGAATTTTGATAATAATTCAATATAGCGATTTGTATATTGGTACATTCGCAGTTTATAAACATTATGAAACACTATATATTTTTAATCTATAGCTTGAAGTATTTTAATCAATTCCGTTAAAAATGTTAATACATTCCGCGATAAAATCATTAATATCATGTATAAAAAGCATGATTATCTCGTTCGTTGTCATGAACCTCACATGTATTGAAGTATAATTATGTAATGATGATTATTTGTGCAGGTTCGATAAATATAGTGACAGGAGCGAATTGATAATTGTATGTGTTTGGAAACGGTAGGCTTGTCAAAGGGCGATCAGATCAGGAGTACGAGCATGATCGTTTGGAAGAGTCAGTCGCTCCAGTTAGTTTAGAGATAGGTTGAACGGACGAGCCTTCGTCCAAACTGAAGCTTTCGTCCAAAGTGGAGCCTTCGTCCAAAGTGGAGCCTTCGTCCAAAATGGAGCCTTCGTCCAAAGTGGAGCCTTCATCCAAAGTGGAGCATTCGTCCAAAATGGAGCCTTCGTCCAAAGCGGAGTCTTCGTCCAAAATGGAGCCTTCGTCCAAAGTGGAGCCTTCGCCCAAAATGGAGCCTATGGACCCCACAGACTCCACGGTAAACGTTTTCACTATATGCTAGTTAAAAAAGGATCCACATATTTATGAATGTAGCGTGCCTAAAAATAATAACATTCATAAAGTGTTTATATTTCTCAAACACGCAATTCAAATTAATTCTTACATGAAAAGAAGAACGTTTTGCTGGAATAAAAATCTGTGTCCAACTAAAAATTTAGATAGACATAGATCTGAAAAAATTTCGTTGGCTTATCTAATTATCAATAATTATCATAGGAAATCGTAGGAAATTCAAGCTCTATGAGCAATGCTGCAAAAACTTTTGACATTCTAGCAGTCAGTTTGAGCATCCTATATAATTATTTTGGTGATTCAACAAACTTAATTTCAGATTTGTCTAGTTTTTAGATGTTTCAGCAAAACCGTCCTTTCAACGATTTTACTGAAATATCATTAGTTTTATTCATTAAATTAATCGATCTAATTTTTTCAGTAATAAATGTAATTGATTTGCAGCTACACATCTTCATAGAAAAAACGGTTTTGCTGAAATATTTATAAATTTTACTAAATATTCAAATTTGAAAATAATTCTGTTGGTCCATTAAAATAATTATATAGGAAGTTCAGGCTGATGAGTATGTTACAAAAAATTTTGACATTCTAACAATCAACTTGAGCATCTTACATAATTATTTTGATAGTCTAACAAAATATTTAGATCTATAATTAACTAAATTTTTAGATAAGTTCAACAAAACTGTTTTTTTCCGTATTGACTAGTACCCTTTTGTTTCTTTAAAGTATTTGATTTTAAATTTTTCATTTGTAAGCAATATAAAGTCTCTTCAAAATCTGTTTATTTATTTTAACAGCTTTAACATTGTATATAATTCTGCCTTTCTAGACACCTGATAGTCAAAAGTCGCTATCGAATAATTCAGAGCAGGTATTCGTAAAGGACCGATCATGCACCGATTTTTTTGTTATAATTATCCTATTCATGCTGGTGGGTGGTTTTGTAAGTAATATTATTCTGTTATCCGCGTCATAATGCCAATATGTTCGCTAAATGTAATTTGCACATGCAGGTCTTCATGATGACGAATGTGATGAAAAAGGGTGACATATACCGCGTGATAAATGGATACGACGATTATGGAAATGTTTGTGGTCGTGTAACTCCAGACGATCCGGAACATGAGGGTAAGGGTGCTGATTACACCCACAAACCGTAAGTGCACTTTGAAGAAATTGTATTAAATCAAATTTCTTTGCGATTCAGTCGTACAGTTCATGTATCAAAGACGGGATTTATGTAAAAATTTTATAATTTTCCTGAATTAAATGATTGACAATATTAATAAGACTCAATAAATTATAAATTAGTAAAAGTAATAGGGCTACGAGTCTGACTCGTAGCCCTATTATTTTTACTAATTTATGAATTAAATTACATAAATTAAGGAAATTATTATTAAATTAATTAAATAATTAAAAACTGTGTGTGTACACTGTGTAGTAGTACCTTTAAAAAAAATTAATGTAGTCTAGGATCAATAAAACGGCTAACATCATAATATAAAATGATATTCAATTCTCGATTTGATATTGACTATTTGTACTACTTTATATACTAAAAGATCTTGAGAATTGATCATATTGCTCATTGTCTTCATTGATAAATTCTATTCTGTATCTATTAGGTATCTCAAGATGGATTTGAATGTAACTGTATTCACGTACGAGAAAGAAGAAAATAATTTCAATATGACTCGATTATCGGTGCACGTAAAAAACCGTACATGCGTGAGGTGGTGTGCACAGGACGAGTTTGTAAAATTGAGTCTCGTTATATGTTTTGCTTTTCTGTTTGTGCTTTTCACATTAATCTAAATGACTGCTAGAGTCATGACTGCTAGAGTTGCAATCGTAGAAAGTTTCATGCAGTAAATATAAACTTAATTATTTTTTCTTCCAATTGTTTTTTCTAACAACAATTTCCGTTTCTCTGTCTCGTAGAATATTATTCCTAAAGCGCTGTATTAATAAGACAATCGACAACTCCACAAGTTTCGACACTAGTCTTTTCGGTGTAAGTGATTCTGTTTGTGAGCATATTTTTTGAGATTATCTTTTGTGTAAAAATTGCTAGCCTATTGTTTTGTTAGAATCTGATCTTAAATTTAAAAAAAGTGTCATTAGATTATTTTCTATTGGTGTTTTCCATTTTGTGCATGTTTCCGTTTACATCAATTATAAATAAATCTAGAATATGTTATTTTACAACTGAGTAACGAAAGTCTCAACGGTCTGGGCTGGATTTTAGTATATAAATAATATTTAAATAATATTTTCAGTATGAATTTACTTATATACGTTTCCAGTTCTGTAAATTGAACGCCGAAATTATTTTCTTGAAACGCAATCATAAGCCAAACTTCTAATATTAGCACACATCAATATTAATAAATTTCTTTTCAATTTAATTTATGATATTACCGTATTACTATACTTCAGTTCGGTTTATGATTGCATTTTAAGAGTGAAAATGATTTCAGTGCGCAGTTTACAGAAGTGCTGGATGTGTATATACATTCATATTTAGTGCTTAAATAATATTTGAGCACTAAGATCCAACTTAGACTGTTGAGGTTTTCATTACTCAGTTATATATTCACATTTGTCTTAAGACACTTTGTTTAAATAGTTTTTATTCCAATTTCCGAGAATTTCATGTCATCTTGTTCCTTGTTCTTATAACGGAAAAGAGTCTAATTGTTTTCAATATTCGAAATAGTAAGAGAAAATATCCATTCTGAAAAGACAAATTATGTGTACACTAAACTGGGCAATCATTTATTTTAAAATTAGCTCGGAAATAGTCTGTCTTAATTTGAACAATTTATGATTAATAACATATTACTTAATAACATATTACATTTTAAATTAAGCTTCAAATTAAATTATTTTAAATTTCTTTCTTAAAATTTATTTATTCTTATATATATGTATAGCGCGATTTGCCATGACGTGTCCATTAAAATTTGAGATAAACAGATCAATTCATTTTAAGATATTCAAATACAATAATTTGCAAGCAATATATGTTAAGTGTGCAGTATCTTCTCAATTGGATTAAATAAGTAATTAATCGATAAAACGTATTATTATTTCAGAACGCAGTTACTGATGTGATAATCGTATGGCGTGAATTGATTTTCCTTTTGCTTATAGCTTTAAGTAGGTATTCAGAAATAAATATCTATCATATGTTATTTTAATATCATACCATTTAAAACTTTCAATTTCTTGCTGTACGTTTAAATATAATTTCTCTTCCTCATATTTATCAGTTTATCTATACATATAAAATCTCAAGCATTTAAGAAATTCGATGATATTCCAAACAGTTTGCCAAATGTAATTGGAATTTGAAAAAATAGTATTTTTTTTATGTTAACAGAATAACCTTTTTATTTTATCGACAATTGATTCTTGAATATTAAATTTCAATTTTAAATTCTTACACTATCTCTCTCTCTCTCTCTCTCTCTCTCTCTCCGCGATACAAAACAGGAGCTTTACGTGATTGATTGCGACTGACGATTTTTCAGCACTTTCCGTCGGTATCCTGGTAGCCTTCCGCTATATGATACAATATATCATTTATGTCATATTGATCGGCACAGTTTTGACTTGCAACGGTGGCACAACGTACCTCTGGTAAAGAGAATTCTCTCAATTTTTAATAATTAAAATGATGTAGCAAATCCACATTTTAAATTGTTCAATTTAAAAATTTCTGCATGAATAAAATATCTATATAGAAAGAACAATTTTTCGCTGAAGAGTATTTAAAATTTTAAATAGATACAAATTTAAAAATAATTTTGTTCGACCATCCAAGCAGCTATGTTAAATTCTCCAGCACGAGCATCCTACACGATTGTTTTTATGTTTCGACAAAATTATTTTTAGATGCATATCTAGCTACATTTTTAAATAATTCAGTGAAACCATTCTTGTCGTGTATTTATTATTTATATTTAGTAAAATAAGTTTAATCTTTTATGCAAAGGCTAGCGTGGTACCAGGAAAAAGAGAGCGTGGAAAGATGCGAGATCTATGAGGAGTATTCCAGCGTGGAACCCTACTTTATCTACGCTACTATCATGTCTGCTGTTTCTGTAAGAAAAATCGTTATATTCAACATTATGTTTACACAAATTTTGCGGATATATATATACATATATATTAACATATAAGGCTATGTTCAGATTTCACTCCATCCTTGTTATTTACCGAACGTTAAAAAAGGATGACATGACGCCCGGAAAGCACTCGCGTGAGAATTCGAACACACTCTAATATGTTCCGCAGGTGATTGTTTTTCCAGTGGTTCTAGTGATGAGAAAAAGAATCAAACTAGTCATACAGCTTTTCCGAGAGGCGAGTAAAGCTGTGTATTCAATGCCGGCGTTGCTATTTCAGCCTATTTACGTAAGTATATCTCGTTCCATTTATATAAGTTCTGTTTATTTCATATGAACTGATCTCGCGAACGTGGAAATTCTTTATTTCAGACCTATTTGCTGATTGGATCTACGGCAATAGCATGGTTATACTGTAGGCTATGGATAAGCAGCGCCGAAAACGACGGTGGTAACATTGAGTTGATTTGGGAAAATGAAATCGAGATAGTTAATTCCAAGGAAGATGCATTTTTTATTGTATGGGAGCATATTTTTTTATCAACTGTGATAAAAATTATATTTCATAGAATAAATACATATTCACATTTTCAGTTATAAAGTGGGATCTGTTATCCAATAATGTTTTTGTGAATTTCATACATTTTGCCCTAAGAATATAATAATAAAATGAAAAATTAAAAAAGTTATAAATTTTTTTATATTGTATTTGAAAATGACATAAAATGTTTGACGGCGATTTGAAGTTAGATTAAAAATTATTTTCACGAGAAGAGATGACAGATTTATAAAAAGTAATTAAGATAAAATACGAAAATTTTTATTTAAACTACAAAATTGTAATGTTAAACAAATCATTATAATCATAAATCAAGTACTGAAAATGGTAATATTATTTTTTGTTTTGTATTATATATGTATTAATTGTTATTTAATTAATTTATTAAACTATATTTATTTTATGTTTATCTTTATAATAAATGGAATTAATTTAGGAAAGATGGTACAATCAATGTTTATTCATCGTGGTGTGTTCATTCTATTTGGGTTGCCAACATATGATCGTTGCTTGTGCTGTTGCCCAATGGTTCTTTACAAGGTGAGATCTTTATTAGATATACGAAGTTAAATATAAAAAATAGTCCTGCCATTTTTCGTCTCCAAAATTGATTTGTTTCGAAGGGAAATACCTTAATCAAAATATTATTAATAAAGTATTATTAAGTAGAATATGTATTATAAAGTAATAAAGTATTATAAAGTAAAAAATGGAGACAATTACTTTGATTAAGGTATTCATTCATCTTCCCTTTGAAACAAATCAATTTTGGAGACGATAAACGGCAGGAATTAAGTTTAACACCTAATAGAAAAAATAGCGTAATGAAAAGTTAATCAGTATGAAAAGTTTAATCTGTACGTCATTAGTTGATCAAATTATAGCTATGTATAGAAAAATAAAATGTATGTTTTTTTACGTACTCGAAAATACTGTTTGTCAACATACATATCGAGAAAATTTTCACGAGGCGCTATTAGATTTCTTGCTAATGATCTTCTGTTTATACAGAGTATTTGACGTTAGAAGGAACACCGCTTATAAGCAGATAAAGCGGACTAAACTGACAATACGTGCTTATTCGAAAATTAAAAAAAATTAAATCTCATTAATTATTGCGAAAATTGTAAAATAATACTGAATTTTTTTATTAATTGTCAATTTAGTCTGCATTATCTATTCATAAGTGGTGTTCGACCTAATGTCAAACACCTTGTATACTTACATGATATTTCAAAATATGTTATACTTTTTCACAGTATTGCATGAATTTTATAGAGGACTGCATTGTATTTTAACAGGGATAAAAGACGTCTCTCTTCACCAGTAGCAAAAAGCTTCGGATATGTTATAAGATATCACTTGGGTACCGTGGCTTTCGGAGCTTTAATATATTTTATCACCGAAATTTTACAATTTTATAGATTAATATTAGGTATAATTAAAGTTATCACAGCCATGATAGCTTTCATCCAAAAGTTTCTGAAAGGGTATGACAACTCATGCGTGAAAAGAATCTTATGCTGTTGTCAATGTTGTCTTTGGTGTCCTGATCGCGCTGTAAAACTTGCTAATAAAAATATTTATGTCGAAACAGGTAATTCGAAACAGGACATTTTTATGATGATATAAATATTTTAATTTTAATTTTTCATTGATCCTTGACATCTTTCTACCTTGAATATGATATATAACAATTAAAAACAAAAATTAAAAATATTTTTTTATTGATTAATGTACTAAAAATCGATGTTTTTCAGCCATATACGGATGCAACTTTAACACCGCTGGAAAAAAGAAGTTGCAGGTAACCAACAATTTGCGAGAAGCGGCGATTGACAGCGTTGGCGTTTTCGTCCTTTTTTTGGGTAAAATCCTCGTTGTCATTCTTACGGTCGTTTCGGGGGTATACTTGATACAGGTAAATTAATTACTATATTCATTTTTATATTTCAAATGTTTTACTAATTTTAATTTTATCCCTTTTCAGAAAAAGAAGGGGCTTAATCAACCTTGGATACCAATCATTCTCGCGGGGATATTCGCATTCCTGGTTTCGCATTGTTTTATATCAATCTATGAAGTAAGTGATATAAAAAGTAAAAAAATTTCAATGTTAAATAAATAATATAATCTTCATAGACATGTTTATTTTTTGCAGGTTATTATTGACACAATATTTATTTGCTTCTGCGAGGATTGCGAGAAGAATGACGGCATCAACCGACCTTATTTTATGAGCCGTGGTTTGATGGTTTGTATTAGCTATAATAAATGCATCAGCTTTATTACTTCTTAATCGTTATGAAGTTATTTGTATATAGACAAAAATCTTGTCTTCAGGAATTCGTGAAGAACAGAAAAAAATCTGTAAGACATTTGGAACAATGAGGTGCTGCAGCTACATAACAAGCATTAGACATTAAGAATAGATTTTTTTTAAATATATCAATTTAAAAAATTCGATGATCGGTCAGTATAATAAGCGATAAACAATGTACGTTGGAGTTCTTCATACAATGTTAACGGATGGTATTGTAATCATTTAGTTATTGAGTTAAGTTTGGATAGGTCTGTTGTAACATATACTTTTTATTACAACTCAAGTAATGGTAACTTTGATTCTCTGTCAAAAATTATTATTCTTTGAAAAAAATTAATGTATCAAATGAAAAATTAAAACCCTACAATCTTAACTAATCAAGTTAACGGCGCGCGTTTCTGGGGACTACATACGTAGTATATAAATTCACATAAGAATCATACATCATATTCTGAGAGGAGGAGGTCTGGGAGACATCAGGCACCGATGGAGCAACCTTGTGGTAAATATTATTTTTTATTTATGTAAAATTAACCTTTTTTTACTTGTTTTTAAGTCATTTTATTTGACAGTGATTTAAAAATGATTATTTTTTAATCATTGTTAAATAAAATAATTTAAATAATTATATATCCTATAAAATAATTATATATACTCTAAAGTAATTTTCAATTTCAATAATTACACAGCCACACAAAAAAAACTTTTTTTCTGATCTTGGGGTCTGACCATGTTTACTGTATGTTTTTGGGGTCGCTGAATCCGAATCCGAGGTCTATTTAACCCCATCACATCAGGATTTTGCCATAATGTAAGTCAACTCCAATAATCACGTATGTCAGACTTTTATCTTGATAAGTACGTTATTTTAATTTATAACCGCGTAACTCTGGTCATTGCACCTTTCATTGCAACAATTTTTCTTTTGTCTCAAGCACCTGAAACATACTGTTGTGTCCTAGAAACATTTTCACCCGAAAAGTGTCTATTTTTACGTTTACTCATGTAATGTGAGTTTTTCAAACATTGTACTGTCGGCATTGGCGTTACCGGATTTGGATGTACATCGCGGGGAGGTTGCACGATCGGGTTTTGTACATCATGTAGCCTTTAAAAGGGCTGTTTGGAAAGCTGGGGATAAAAGGAATATATTACTTCAATTGTTCTCTATTTTCGAGCTGTATCTAGTTCTTTTCTCTTCAAAAGATCTATGCAATGGATTTCTTTTACGCTTATTGTCTTGTTCAAGAGTTTCTCTTTTGAGCATTCAGTAAAAATCTGCCAGCATATTAACGTCCCACCGTCCCTGATAGCGAGTTTCCATAATTTTAATTTCCTGGTGAAAACGTTCGCCCTGCTCTTCACTGAATGGAGACTTTAGTGAAGAGCAGGGCGAACGTTTTCACCAGGAAATTAAAATTATGGAAACTCGCTATCAGGGACGGTGGGACGTTAATATTCCCAGGTTATAACCAGTTTACTGGACGCTGTACAACTCAGACGCCTGTTAACTATATATAAATACGCGTATTCGACAGACTGCCATAATATTATTATATGGTATATGTATACGTAATTGTAAGTATAATATATAACCTGCCAATCTTGGCCACGTTGTAGCATAATATAAGATTTGACAGAGATAGCGCGATCTATCTCATATGTAAGCGCGAGGATGCACGCATTTTTTTTTTTAAGATAAGCATTTCCGAAGTGCCGAATTAACGACGTTAGTCGCGACAGTCTCAATAATGTAAAAATTCGATGTGTAAACGAACGCGATATTTATTTAATTGTTGTATTAACTTTAGCAAAGCTAGTGGTGTTACCACCGATTAACAGATCGACTGCGACATGTTCTACAGATAGCACTGTATGTTGTCAAGGCGGAGGCATTATTATAGCGACGTTATGTCGCTTGTGCCTTAAATATGTTTCGAATGTGCCAAATTTTATATGAGGCACGTACTGAGTATATTGACGCCTACTGTAAAACAGTACACAACTCACGGCACCCTCAACTTTGCAGACAATATAACTGCTGCAGGGCCAATTTATGAGCGTGAAAGGCACGCTGTGCCGCAAACTTACATATCTAATATCGTATAAGGCAGCTAATTGGTCGGTTGTTGATCGATAATTAAACTCACATGTGAGAATTCGTTGTTTTACATTTCCATCGCCGACAACGTATCACGTATATAATGTACATTAAATGTCATAAGTGTTCTGATTGACGTTAATTAAATTTCGGACGTCTTCGCGAACGCAATTCATCTTCACTATTATGATATACAGAGAACCATATCATTTTTATTACAGATTTTATGATTAATTTGCTGTTACTTTATCTTTTCAACTTCAAAACACGTACAATTTTTGAATAATTAATGACTAAAGATAAAAGATTTATAGCAAAATAAACTTCACATTCGAGAGAAAATAGATGATAAAGTCATAATATTTTAGTTGTTTTAATGTGTTTTATCTTAATCGATATTTTTTTTTTATTTAATCGTATACAAATATATACGATTAAAAATTGAAAGAGATAATCGACAATATTTGATATATATTATTAGATACTACATATTATTAGATATTTAATATTTTTGATATCTCAACAATTTCCTTGAATTAGCTTGAAGAACTATTGAAAAACATGTGATGCTTCTGTATATCATGATAGTATTTGTATTAAAGCAATAAAAAATATCAGATATAATAAGAATATAATTATTGACATCCGTCTTTTATATGTTTTTTATTATAATCTATAGATGTAGATCGATATAATAGAATCGTTTTATACAGCATAATTTCAAAGACTCCCTTCAATGTAAAAGTTATTTTAATTGTCAGGGACAAAACCTGGTACAATGAAAATTCATCCACATATAAATATCTGGAAATGACTCATTATATTTAAATGATTTCTGATGTATAATGCCAAGAAACAATCCAGAAAGTACTCGCTTAGTGAATTATATAGATATTCGTATGACATATAACGTCTATGGTGTAAGTATGCATACGACTTGCTAGCCTTTCAGTAATTATAATACTTTACTGCCAACCCTCCCCCCACAAGTATTTCTTCACATACATGGCAATTGTATATACATTTTATATAAATTTTAAATAAACCACGAAATATATTTTTGTTTATTTTATAACGCAAAAGTAGTTCCAGCAAAGTTAATTTTTAAGAAAGCCAATATATAATACCGGCTTTTTGCAATATCTGACGTGTGATCGTAAAGATTTTATGTGAACCAGTATATGTCCGAATAAAATAAGAAATATCTCGCAAACTATTGATTTTTAAAATTTCTTTATCCTACTTTTATATACCGAATAATATACAAGAACAATTAATTTACGAAAACAAGCATATTTTATTTAAAAACTAAGAGTGATTTAAAACTTCAGAACTCTCCTGTTTATTTAGAATAAAATCATGTATATCTCTATTGACATCTTTTTTTGAAAATAAATAACTTTTATCTAACAATAAAACATTTCTTGGAAATAAAGAGTTCCTTTTTCCATTTGTTCCAAAACAAATTACCTTCCCTCTCCCCTTCACTCTCTCTCATTATTTTAAAAATATATCTACATTTTATATATATATAACATGCACATACATTCGTATCTCGAATATCACATGTACAAATCCAAATGAAAATAACAATTTCGTATTTTTATAACACATGTACTTTTTGATGTTATATAAATAATCTACAAATGACCAAATCTGAAATTATTATGCAATATAACTCAAACAATTACTATTAACATTTGTTGTTCTACTTATTCTTCAAATATATGTATACTCTTCAAGTTAAAAAAAAATAACGGAAATCTTATAATTTCCCTATGACTCTCCAAATCATAAAAAATCCTAAGAAATCAAATAATAATGTTAAGACATCTTTATGGAAATAGACGCTATCAAGATCCGCACTGATTAACATTATAATTTGATCACGCCTCAACAACTGCGTTACATTCCCATCTCCCCGATTCTAAGAATCTTCAAGTTAAATTGCATCAATAATGCGTTTCCGCATGGTCCCATACGTGATAACGACCTTAAACGAGAATAATGCGACGATACCACGTGCAAGGCCGACACGAGTAAGCAGATGAACCCTCAAGCTCAATTTTCTATCTGTCATTCGAATAATCACGTTTTTAACTTTGGTTGCATTATTTCCGACACGTACTGATGGAACCCGTATGAGTTTTGAACAACCACGATTTGCCATATGTGCCGCATTGAACCCAAAGGTAATCATCTTGAAAAACTCGATTTTCCTCACTCGATGTCACAAATAAAAAAAAGACGGTACAAATAAAAGAACATCATTCAGTTACTTTCAATGCTTTTCAGAATATTTTTCATACACGCACTATTTTTAGAATCTTTTTCAGAAAGTATCTTCCGAATCAGTCTATTTTCAGTCGGTCTAGGCAAATCTTACTGATGCCAAATTTACTTTAGAAGATCGAGCGGCGCCGTCACCATGTACCTTTGAAATTAAATTATTATGGCGCATTATTGAGCGCCAAAAAGACTTTTTTTAACACTCAAGTCGAAGCGCAAATATTCCAAGAAAATCTGATACACATATTAACTAATGTATAATATTTTCCCATTTTACTTTTAAAGAAATAAAAATACAAATCTTGTTAGAATCAAATGTTTACATCACTATAAATATATGTCTCGTAAAAAATTCAATATTTGAAATTGCATATAATTCAAAGTAGTATTTCTTGAAATAATCAAGAAACAGGAAAATTAATGGCAAAAATAGTTCAATTTAGTATTTCAAATTATTTTCTACAAGCAAATATTTAACGTTTTGATTTTTTAACATCATATTTATTTAATACTATTTTATATGTTATTTTTTTATGTCATAGATTAAAACATATTATTATAACATAACATAAATGTACGTTTAATGTAGCTTCAACGAAATTTGACAACTTCCAAACATGTTCTTAATGCTAATGTATTCAGTTTTCTAAAATTGATGCACCCTAAAAATTCAAATCTCAAAGAATTTATATTTGTGCACACAGAATTATGATGCAGAATGTAACAAGAACAAAAAAAATATGAAACTTCGGAGTCGCGTTGAGTATCTGGAATGATACTAAGACTTATGTTCATAAACACAAGAAATAATTTTTCTAATTATAAATAATTAAAAATAAAATGTTCTATACAATCTATACTAACTAAATTACTAAATTATGAGGGACTGAAAACAAATAAAGAATTATATTTTTCTCTTGTGTTATAGAAATAAATACACGTTACATCTGGCCACTTCATGTCGTTTTGTCGAATTGTTCCCTTACTCGTCGTTATACGAACGTGCTTCTGGACCGAAAATAAATGCTCGCTTCCTGTAATGCGAGATCGCGGCAGACATTTTTCAAATGATACAAACAATCGTTTCGGTGGGATTCGAAAATGTTAGTTAATTGCGTCCTATGCATTATTTTGTTTTGTGACATGCAAATTATACCCATGACCGTTTTATCATTTTAGATCCCCTCGAAGTGCGGATGCGCTTCAATTGGCATAATTTAAGCACTGTTAGATTTAAAAATAACCAATAAAATCAAAGTTAATTCGAGTTTCATATTTTTCAAAATAATTTTTTTTATGAAAGTTAAAATCGCCATTGTTGACTCAATCTAAAGTTCTATTTCACGCATAATGTGCATAATGCATCATTTATCCTTGTTTACATTTGCTAAACGATTTCTAGCGTCGTATCTCTGCCAGAAGTGGGCATATTTGAAATGCAATATGTATTTAGATACAATATGTATTTTAAATACATTTTTATTTTATTAAAAGTATTTTGTATTTCAAATTTGAATATTTTTTTGAGAGTATTTTGTATTTTGTATTTAAATGCAATTGTTTGAGTATTTTGCCCACTCCTGCTCGTAGATGTGAAAAATGATGCTTGTGTCACTAATTGAAAAGCACCCATATTGTTTGGGCCGAATGTTATCATGTTTAGTCCCCTTTTTGAATATACGAAATGTAGTTACGGACCGTGTGTTCACAAGACGATGCCGCCTACTTTCGATATCGATCGGATCAAGGAAGCGTTAATCAGTCTTACATCTATGTTCTAAGAGAATTCCCTACGATTCTGTAAATAGACACGGAAAGGTAATTTGATTATCGCGATATTAAAGTTTAATTTTGATTGAGACCGTGTCAATTTTTAATTGATGCTATCTTGCCGATGATGGTTAATTCAACGAGGTATAATACTGCGGATGAAACTTTCATGTAATTGCTATATAAAGTAGTAGGAGTACAAATAGTACAAAAAACCGATACGAAAAAATTAATTAATGTGTCTTTTGCAGAAATAATAATAAATAAATTTATGTTATATTAAATTTATATAATACGTTAATATTATATATAAAAAAAGTGTAATATAAATTAAAAATACGTATTATTTTATACAAACGTTAATATTAATATTTTAGATTATATGTGTATATTGTGTATTTTTTATTGGAGATATTTCAAGTAAAATCATTATTTCACTTGTATTTCAATCAACTCTCTCAAGTTCCACTTCTGAACAATTATGTTTCACGTGTGTTATCATGGACGATTCGTAATTCTAATCGGCGTTGCAACAACATTATCCAAGCATGCAACTCTTTTCTCAAATGTATTAATCGACTGATATCGACGTAATTCAGAGGTTCATTCAAGAAACGCGTTCCGATAAAGCGATCGCCATCGCGTTGCATTTACATCAAAATATTGTTTTAATACATTTTACGCACACGTCAAACTGCACGTTCAAAATTCAGTCGTCAACTATCAAGAAAGAATTAATTTGACACATTAAATTTAAATTTGGAAATTTCTGTCACTTTCAATATTCTCGGCTGAATCTTGATGATAATTCAATATAGCGATTTGTATATTGGTACATTCGCAGTTTATAAACATTATGAAACGCTATATATTTTTAATCTATAGCTTGAAGTATTTTAATAAATTCCGTTAAAAATGTTAATACATTCCGAGATAAAATCACTAATATCATGTATAAAAAGCACGATTATCTCGTTCGTTGTCATGAACCTCACATGTATTGAAGTATAATTATGTAATGTTGATTATTTGTGCAGGTTCGATAAATATAGTGACAGGAGCGAATTGATAATTGTATGTGTTTGGAAACGGTAGGCTTGTCAAAGGGCGATCAGATCAGGAGTACGAGCATGATCGTTTCGAAGAGTCAGTCGCTCCAGTTAGTTTAGAGATAGATTGCTGCGGTTGAACGGACGAGCCTTCGTCCAAACTGAAGCTTTCGTCCAAAGTGGAGCCTTCGTCCAAACTAGGGCCTTCGTCCAAAGTGGAGCCTTCGTCCAACGTGGAGTCTTCGTCCAAAATGGAGCCTTCGTCCAAAGTGGAGCCTTCGCCCAAAATGGAGCCTATGGACCCCACAGACTCCACGGTAAACATTTTCACTATATGCTAGTTAAAAACGGATCCACATATTTATGTATGTAGCATGCCTAAAAATAATAACATTCATAAAGTGTTTATATTTCTCAAACACGCAACTCAAATTAATTCTTACATGAAAAGAAGAACGTTTTGCTGGAATAAAAATCTGTATCCAACTAAAAATTTAGATAGACATAGATCTGAAAAAATTTCGTTGGCTTATCTAATTATCAATAATTATCATAGGAAATCGTAGGAAATTCAAGCTCTATGAGCAATGCTGCAAAAACTTTTGACATTCTAGCAATCAGTTTGAGCATCCTATATAATTATTTTGGTGATTCAACAAAATTAATTTCAGATTTGTCTAGTTTTTAGATGTTTCAACAAAACCGTCCTTTCAACGATTTTACTGAAATATCATTAGTTTTATTCATTAAATTAATCAATCTAATTTTTTCAGTAATAAATGTAATTGATTTGCAGCTACACATCTTCATAGAAAAAACGGTTTTGCTGAAATATTTATAAATTTTACTAAATATTCAAATTTGAAAATAATTCTGTTGGTCCATTAAAATAATTATACAGGAAGTTCAGGCTGATGAGTATGTTACAAAAAATTTTGACATTCTAACAATCAACTTGAGTATCTTACATAATTATTTTGATAGTCTAACAAAATATTTAGATCTATAATTAACTAAATTTTTAGATAAATTCAACAAAACTGTTCTTTCCATATTGACTAGTACCTTTTTGTTTCTTTAAAATATTTTATTTTAAATTTTTCATTTGTAAGCAAAATAAAGTCTCTTCAAAATCTGTTTATTTATTTTAACAGCTTTGACATCGTATATAATTCTTCCTTTCTAGACACCTGATAATCAAAACTCGCTATCGGATTATTCAGAACAGGTATTCGTAAAGGACCGATCATGCACCGATTTTTTTGTTATAATTGTCCTATTCGTGCTGGTGGGTGGTTTTGTAAGTAATATTATTTTATTATCCGCGTCATAATGCCAATATGTTCGCTAAATGTAATTCGCACATGCAGGTCTTAATGATGACGAATGTGATGAAAGAGGGTGACATATACCGCGTGATAAATGGATACGATGATTATGGAAATGTATGTGGTCGTGTAACTCCGGACGATCCGGAACGTGAGGGTAAGGGTGCTGATTACACCCACAAACCGTAAGTGCACCTTGAAGTATTTGTATTAAATCAAATTTCTTTGCGATTCAGTCGTACAGTTCATGTATCAAAGACGGGATTTATGTAAAAATTTTATAATTTTCCTGAATTAAATTACATAAATTAAAGAAATTATTATTAAATTAATTAAATAATTAAAAACTGTGTGTAGTAGTACACTGTGTAGTAGTACCTTTAAAAAAAATTAATGTAGTCTAGGATCAATAAAACGGTTAAAATCATTATATAAAATGATATTCAATTCTCGATTTGTTATTGACTATTTGTACTATTTTATATACTAAAAGATCTTGAGGATTGATCATATTGTTCATTATCTTCATTGATAAATTCTATTCTGTATCTATTAGGTATCTCAAGATGGATTTGAATATAACTATATCCACGTACGAGAAAGAAAAAAATAATTCCGTGACTCGATTATCGGTGCACGTGAAAAAACGTACATGCGAGAGGTGCTGTGCAGAGGATGAGTTTGTAAAATTGAGTCTCGTTATATGTTTTGCGTTTCTGTTTGTGCTTTTCACATTAATCTAAATGACTGCTAGAGTTGCAATCGTAGAAAGTTTCATGCAGTAAATATAAACTTAATTATTTTTTCTTCCAATTGTTTTTTCTAACAACAATTTCCGTTTCTCTGTCTCGTAGAATATTATTCCTAAAGCGCTGTATTAATAAGACAATTGACAACTCCACAAGGTTCGACCCTAGTCATTTCAGTGTAAGTGATTCTGTTTGTGAGCATATTTTTTGAGATTATCTTTTGTGTAAAAATTGCTAGCCTGTTGTTTTGTTAGAATCTGATCTTAAATTTAAAAAAAAAGTATCATTAGATTATTTTCTATTGGTGTTTTCCATTTTGTGCATGTTTCCGTTTACATCAATAATAAATAAATCTAGAATATGTTATTTTACAACTGAGTAACGAAAGTCTCAACGGTCTGTGCTGGATTTTAATATATAAATAATATTTAAATAATATTTTCAGTATGAATTTACTTATATACGTATCCAGTTCTGTAAATTGAACGCCGAAATTATTTTCTTCAAACGCAATCATAAGCCAAACTTCTAATATTAGCATCAATATTATTAAATTTCTTTTCAATTTAATTTATGATATTACCGTATTACTATATTTCAGTTCGGTTTATAATTACATTTTAAGAGTGAAAATGATTTCAGTGGGCAGTTTACAGAACTGCTGGATGTGTATATACATTCATATTTAGTGCTTAATTAATATTTGAGTACTAAGATCCAACTTAGACTGTTGAGGTTTTCATTACTCAGTTATATATTCACATTTGTCTTAAGACACTTTGTTTAAATAGCTTTTATTCCAATTTCCGAGAATTTCATGTCATCTTATTCCTTGTTCTTACAGCGGAAAAGAATCTAATTGTTTCCAATATTCGAAATAGTAAGAGAAAATATCCGTTCTGAAAAGACAAATTATGTGTACACTAAACTGGGCAATCATTTATTTTAAAATTAGCTCGGAAATAGTCTGTCTTAATTTGAACAATTTATGATTAATAACATATTACTTAATAACATATTACATTTTAAATTAAGCTTCAAATTAAATTATTTTAAATTTCTTTCTTAAAATTTATTTATTCTTATATATATGTATAGCGCGATTTGCCATGACGTGTCCATTAAAATTTGAGATAAATAGATCAATTCATTTTAAGATATTCAAACACAATAATTTGCAAGCAATATATGTTACGTGTGCAGTATCTTCTCAATTGGTTTAAATAAGTAATTAATCGATAAAACGTATTATTATTTCAGAACGCAGTTACTGATGTGATAATCGTATGGCGTGAATTGATTTACCTTTTGCTTATAGCTTTAAGTAGGTATTCAGAAATAAATATCTACGATACGTTATTTTAATATCATACCATTTAAAACTTCCAATTTCTTGCTGTATGCTTAAATATAATTTTTCCTTCTCATTATTTATCAGTTCATCTATACATATAAAATCTCAAGCATTTAAGAAATTCGATGGTATTCCAAACAATTTGCCAAATGTAATTGGAATTTGAAAAAATAGAATTTTTTTTATGTTAACAGAATAACCTTTTTATTTTATCGACAATTGATTCTTGCATATTAAATTTCAATTTTAAATTCTTATATTATATCTCTCTCTCTCTCTCTCTCTCTCTCTCTCTCTCTCTCTCTCTCTCTCTCTCTCTCTCCGCGATACAAAACAGGAGCTTTACGTGATTTATTGCGACTGACGATTTTTCAGCACTTTCCGTCGGTATCCTGGTAGCCTTCCGCTATATGATACAATATATCATTTATGTCATATTGATCGGCACAGTTTTGACTTGCAACGGTGGCACAACGTACCTCTGGTAAAGAGAATTCTCTCAATTTTTAATAATTAAAATGATGTAGCAAATCCACATTTTAAATTGTTCAATTTAAAAATTTCTGCATGAATAAAATATCTATATAGAAAGAACAATTTTTCGCTGAAGAGTATTTAAAATTTTAAATAGATACAAATTTAAAAATAATTTTGTTCGACCATCCAAGCAGCTATGTTAAATTCTCCAGCACGAGCATCCTACACGATTGTTTTTATGTTTCGACAAAATTATTTTTAGATGCATATCTAGCTACATTTTTAAATAATTCAGTGAAACCATTCTTGTCGTGTATTTATTATTTATATTTAGTAAAATAAGTTTAATCTTTTATGCAAAGGCTAGCGTGGTACCAGGAAAAAGAGAGTGTGGAAAGATGCGAGATCTATGAGGAGAATTCCAGCGTGGAACCCTACTTTATCTACGCTACTATTATGTCTGTTGTTTCTGTAAGAAAAATCGTTATATTCAACACTATGTTCACACAAATTTTGCGGATATATATATATATATATATACATATATATTAACATATAAGGCTATGTTCAGATTCCCATCCGAGTGCCCAGATATCACTCAATCCTTGTTATTTACTGAACGTTAAACAAGGATGACATGACTCCCGGAAAGCATCCGTGGGAATTCGAACACACTCTAATATGTTCCGCAGGTGATTGTTTTTCCAGTGGTTCTAGTGATGAGAAAAAGAATCAAACTAGTCATACAGCTTTTCCGAGAGGCGAGTAAAGCTGTGTATTCAATGCCGGCGTTGCTATTTCAGCCTCTTTACGTGAGTATATCTCGTTGCAGTTATATAAGTTCTGTTCATTTCATATGAACTGATCTCGCGAACGTGGAAATTTTTTATTTCAGACCTACTTGCTGATTGGATCTACTGCAATAGCATGGTTATACTGTAGGCTATGGATAAGTAGCGCCGAAAATGACGGTGATAACATTGAGTTGATTTGGGAAAATGAAATCGAGATAGTTAATTCCAAGGAAGATGCATTTTTTATTGTATGGGAGCATATTTTTTTATCAACTGTGATAAAAATTATATTTCATAGAATAAATACATATTCACATTTTCAGTTATAAAGTGGGATCTGTTATCCAATAATGTTTTTGTGAATTTCATACATTTTGCCCTAAGAATATAATAATAAAATGAAAAATTAAAAAAGTTATAAATTTTTTTATATTGTATTTGAAAATGACATAAAATGTTTGACGGCGATTTGAAGTTAGATTAAAAATTATTTTCACGAGAAGAGATGACAGATTTATAAAAAGTAATTAAGATAAAATACGAAAATTTTTATTTAAACTACAAAATTGTAATGTTAAACAAATCATTATAATCATAAATCAAGTACTGAAAATGGTAATATTATTTTTTGTTTTGTATTATATATGTATTAATTGTTATTTAATTAATTTATTAAACTATATTTATTTTATGTTTATCTTTATAATAAATGGAATTAATTTAGGAAAGATGGTACAATCAATGTTTATTCATCGTGGTGTGTTCATTCTATTTGGGTTGCCAACATATGATCGTTGCTTGTGCTGTTGCCCAATGGTTCTTTACAAGGTGAGATCTTTATTAGATATACGAAGTTAAATATAAAAAATAGTGTAATGAAAAGTTAATCAGTATGAAAAGTTTAATCTGTATGTCATTAGTTGATCAAATTTTAGCTATGTATAGAAAAATAAAATGTATGTTTTTTTACGTACTCAAAAATACTGTTTATCAACATACATATCGAGAAAATTTTCGCGAGGCGCTATTAGATTTCTTGCTAATGATCTTCTGTTTATACAGAGTGTTTCACGTTAGAAGGAACACCGCTTATAAGCAGATAAAGCGGATTAAACTGACAATACGTGCTTATTCGAAAATTAAAAAAAATTAAATCTCATTAATTATTGCGAAAATTGTAAAATAATACTGAATTTTTTTATTAATTGTCAATTTAGTCTGCATTATCTATTCATAAGTGGTGTTCGACCTAATGTCAAACACCTTGTATACTTACATGATATTTCAAAATATGTTATACTTTTTCACAGTATTGCATGAATTTTATAGAGGACTGCATTGTATTTTAACAGGGATAAAAGACGTCTCTCTTCACCAGTAGCAAAAAGCTTCGGATATGTTATAAGATATCACTTGGGTACCGTGGCTTTCGGAGCATTAATATATTTTATCATCGAAATTTTACAATTTTATAGATTAATATTAGGTATAATTAAAGTTATCAGAGCCATGATAACTTTCATCCAAAAGTTTCTGAAAAGGTATGACAACTCATGCGTGAAAAGAATCTTATGCTGTTGTCAATGTTGTCTTTGGTGTCCTGATCGCGCTGTAAAACTTGCTAATAAAAATATTTATGTCGAAACAGGTAATTCGAAACAGGACATTTTTATGATGATATAAATATTAATTTGAATTTTTCATTCATCCTTGACATCTTTCTATTTTCCTGAATATGATATATTACAATTAAAAACAAAAATTAAAAATATTTTTTTATTGATTAATGTACTAAAAATAGATGTTTTTCAGCCATATATGGATGCAACTTTAACACCGCTGGAAAAAAGACGTTGCAGGTAACCAACAATTTGCGAGAAGCGGCGATTGACTACGTTGGCGTCTTCGTCCTTTTTTTGGGTAAAATCCTCGTTGTCACTCTTACGGTCGTTTCGGGGGTATACTTGATACAGGTAAATTAATTACTATATTTATTTTTATATTTCAAAGGTTTTACTAACTTTAATTTTATCCCTTTTCAGAAAAAGAAGGGGCTTAATCATCCTTGGATACCAATCACTCTCGCGGGGATATTCGCATTCCTGGTTTCGCATTGTTTCATATCAATCTATGAAGTAAGTGATTTAAAAAGCAAAAAAATTTCAATGTTAAATAAATAATATAATCTTCATAGAAATGTTTATTTTTTGCAGGTTATTATTGATACAATATTTATATGCTTCTGCGAGGATTGCGAGAAGAATGACGGCATCAACCGACCTTATTTTATGAGCCGTGGTTTGATGGTTTGTATTAGCTATAATAAATGCATCAGCTTTATTACTTCTTAATCGTTATGAAGTTATTTGTATATAGACAAAAATCTTGTCTTCAGGAATTCGTGAAGAACAGGAAAAAAGCTGTAAGGCATTTGGAACAATAAGGTGCTGCAGCTACATAACAAGCATTAGACATTAAGAATAGATTTTTTTTAAATATATCACTTTAAAAAATTCGATGTTCGGTCAGTATAATAAGCGATAAACAGTACGTTGGAGTTCTTCATACAATGTTAATGGATGATATTGTAACTATTTAGTTATTGAGTTAAGTTTGGATAGGTCAGTTGTAATATATACTTTTTATTCCAACCCAAGTAATGGTAACTTTGATTCTCTGTCAAAAATTATTATTTCTTGAAAAAAATTAATGTATCAAATGAAAAATTAAAACCCTACAATCTTAACTAATCAAGTTAACGGCGCGCGTTTCTGGGGACTACATACGTAGTATATAAATTCACATAAGAATCATACAAGCATTAAGATCCAGCTAGACCGTTTAAGGCTTTGATTTCTATAGTTTGTGTTATCACATATACGATCCTATAATATATTATATTAATCAAGTTAAATTCTACTTATTTCAACCTAAGTAATGGCAAAGTAAAAATATCAAAATATTAATTACATTAAAAAATCCCACCACTATCTCCATCGTCTTATAATAGTGATATAAAAATATCAAAATAAATATCAAGACGATGATCACCTGCACACTTTTGCATGTTCTTTGCTGTACATAAGAAATTAACAACGAATTAATAGAATTTAACTTGGCGCCAATTGTTGATATCAAATCTTTTATATAAATGATACATATCACTATAGTTAACTAAATTAAAACATCTCACCACCACCCCCATCGTCTTATAATAGTAATATAAAAATATCGAAATCAATATCAATATAATGGTCATCTGCAAACTGTTGCATGTTTTTTACTGTACAATAAGAAATTAACAATGCATTAACAGAATTTAATTTGGCTACATCATATACAACTCAATTGAACCAAATCGGTGATTAACTGTCAACCATAAGTGGTCAATTCTATTGGACAGCAAACGCGATCAGTTCTACAGCCGATGAAGTAATTGGCGTTGGTGAAATGGGCCCAAATGATTCTTTACGAAAAGCACGCATTCTTAGCGTTCTCTTATCTTTTTTAAAATTTTTTATAAGTTTCTATAAAGTTACTATTACTTTCTTTTTAGATATCATAGACAAGTAATTTTTTTTAATACATATCATTTAGGTTTAATTATATATATATATATAAATTTTCTTTGGGAGATTGAAATAAAAGGATAGTAAAATTTAGCTTGGCGCCAGCTTGGTTTCTTTGATTAGTTTTCTATATTTTTTCCAATATTTAATTTTATTTATATATAATTTATATATTATAATTTATTAATAATATTTTAATCTTATACAATTTTTTAAATTATTTAAATGGATGAGGATGACTAATTAAAAAATTTACATTTTTTATGTTATAGTTTAATATCTTAATAAACATTTTTGTATGAAAAAGTACATTTTTCTCATTTTGTTAACTATATTTAGTTATAACAATGTATATACAATTTGTTATAAATGTACAACTTCACAAATAGTTTCTAAACATGTCGAAATATACATAAAAATCGTTTAATAATTCTTATATACTTGTAAAAGCAATGAAAATTAAAGTATATATTTTAAATAAAGAAATTAAAAGATTCGAATTTTTTATTTAGTATTTATTATTTTAAATAACTACACTTCTAACTTATTTCTTATTTAATATTTTATATAAGTTTCCGGAAACTATTTTATATTTTTTATTTTTAACAAGTCGTATCTGTTTTTTACCGATTCCTACGATTTTGTATTTTAAATATGTTTCTGAAACTTATTTTATATTTTTTATTTTAAATAATTTTCGTATGTTATTTTAGCCATGATCGGCATCATATTATACGTAAGATTAAAGAACTTCTGAAACACAGAATAATTTGCAGTAATAATAGTATCTTAAATTAATTTATTAACTGAAAAATTAAATAATGATTAACAAGATATTTAGCCAAAGCTGTATTTAGCACAAATTGTTTCACGATATTAAAAAAATTTGCATGTATCTTTATACAAAAGAACATATGTATATAGAATATTTTATCAACTTTTATTTAAATATGAATTATTAAAAAGAACAATGAGAAAAATTAAGACATAATGTTGGAATATTAAAAATAACCTACGCGAATAATTATTAATTACATTTAAAAGAACCATGCCAAGTAATATAGAATTGTGCCAGAGATGGCACATAAAGCAAAACGCGAAATGTACGGCAATACCCGTTTGTCAAAATCACGTAAAATACAAATTGAATAAACCGTGAAGTATATTTTTCATACGCGGCAGTTGGATATTCGAACGCCGCGGCCGTACAGGTTAGCGGAGCGAGGGGGGACGTGTCACGCGCGACCTGAGTGGGGAAGCGTGCGGCGTGCCGCGCGGCGCGGTGGTTGACTACGTCATCACTTCGGCATTCGCCCGGCGATTTCGGAGGGAGATGTACGTATTTTACGAGTCGCTCCGCGTATCGCATTAATTAATAAAAATCAGGTATCTACAAACGCGAATAACGTAAGGTTGCCTAAAATTAAAGTGTATACTAAGGGTTAATAGGTTTCGTGGCACGGTTTTTGCTTTATTTCTTAGATTCATATACAGCACATATACAGCTCATGAATACTTTAGATATTTCATATCTCTCACATGTACGGTATATATAAAAATGAGATTCTTATTGTTAGATATTTCAAATTGTAGTTTTTATCACTTTGAATCGTATAATCTTGTCGTTTTCGTGCTACTCCGTATTCTTAATACGGGAAAAGTGTGTGTGTGTGTGTGTGTGTAACAGATAAATTATATTTAAATTACATTTCTCTAAATGTATGTGCATGCTATTTATATGTATTATTCTATTTAGTCGAAATTGTTTCATAATTTAAAATAAATTTTGCATTTATCTTCATTTAAAGGATTTATGATATATATTATTAATCTTTATTTAATTGTAAATCACAAAAAAGAGCAATAAAAATTGAGATATAATGTTGGGGTCTCAAAAGCATTTCACGTGAGCAATTATGTAAGAAAAACCACGCTAGTAAAAACCTTTTTTTACTTCTTGCCTTTTGTCAGCACATTGCAATATTGATACGAAATATTTAAAATTATAAAATGACCGTTAAATATGTTCCTCGGTGTATCACAACATAATTACGATATCACATTAAACGACTCACACCGCTAAGACTAGATACATATAAGAAATTGTTTCATTAATCGGAGAACATTAAAAATGTAAAGAATATATAATTTTACTTCGTATTTTATGCGTTAATATTTCGTCAGTTAGACGGTGGCGCGCGGTCTTGGGGAGGGGACGGTACGGAGTGGCACGGAGAGGCGCCGGGCGCGTCATGTTTACGCGTAGTTACCGCGCAGTCATTTGTCATTCGCTTACCGAAGCTAGTACAGGCGGGTAGACGTGTCGCGTGCGCACGCAAAAATGCTAGATATAATACGAAAGTTGTATTTTATGAATATTCACATAATACTATTGCTAGTATGATTAATTATTCCTAAAGTTTTGTATTATATTTAGCATTTTTCACGATTATGTTTCAAAAAGAAATAAAAAAAGAGTGGCGTCGATGATTGGCAAACCAATATTGAGCCAATATTGGCACTGTTTTAATCACAGTAGAAATTTAGTATTATATTATTAACATGGATAATGATTATTTGTTTAAATTTAAATTATTAAGCAAATAAATTCAAGTTTTGTACAAATAATTTGTTTAATTTTCGATAATTGCTCTAATAAAAATATGGTTACGAATGTGTATATTTAATTTTCTGACTGTTATTTTTAAAATCATCTTTAGGTATCGGACATCCCGCCATTCCAGAATATTATTAATTATTAATTTATATGTATACATGTATATTTTTTTTTGATAAAATACATGCAGATATTATAAAATTATATTTAACAAATTTTAATTTTTGTCGACTCTTACACGAATTTAATTAAAAATGTGTAGGTACAAAAAATTCAAGATTAGTCGAATGGGTACCCTCATATTAGCGGGATGTTAACAATTAAAATTTTGAAAAATACAGAAAAATGAGGAATTGTTAAATTTTATATAATACATTTTTCAGTATAAAAGTTTTTTAAAATCCCGTTATTATCGGATTCGGTTTATCTCGAACATTTGGTACCCGAGAAACTTTTGTACCCATGCATACATATAAAAAATTACAATAACGCATGTATTTTATTATTATTAAATATACTCCTTCGTAACCACTATCCCATATGGAAATCATTTTATCCGTTTATTTTTAATAAGAGTTGATTTTCAGTAACGTGTGGGAGAACATACTTTGTCATGAATTTTAATATTGTATTAAAGATGCGATCAAAATGATAATCGTAATTGACATGCTTCCAAAATTATTACTATCGTAAATCGTCTGGAAGATTCGAGATTCACACTCTCCTGTAACAAGATTAATGTTTGACGGATTACATAATTTTTCTTTACGAATGGATCTTGTGAATTTGACGTAGAATCGGAATACATTGAGTCCGCTCTTTACTATAAAAATTATTCTTTTTTGTATTGGATAGTAACCTGCGTACCACAAGGCGGAAGAATCTTGAAATGATCAAATTATTGGAATAGTTATCTTGAACGCGATAAAAGTACTGTTATAAATATATTAATGACTCGTTATCGTTAGATTAATAAGTTTTATAATTACAAGATAATAATTCATAGTAAATACGATCTGTTTGTTGTTAGTATTTCATTCTGCGTTTATCAATATTTCGTTAAACATTGGTTTAGAAAAATTTGTGTTATCGTATGTATAATATTTTGATGTTTTCGTATAATTCCGCATTACTAAAATTTGTTAATTATGTTCCTATATTATCATTTTTATTATATTTTGCACAGCATTTATAATTGTATATTATATTATAAACAATTATTATTATTGTAATATTGATTTGTATAAAAGATTACGGTAAATGAAAATATTAAAAAAGTTATTGTTATATGGTTAGCAAAATACAATAAAATAATTAGACATAAAAATAAAAAAATAAATTAAAAATA